TTTGCTCGTCCCTCACCAGGAGGCTTAGTGTCGGTTGAACGCGTTTCAGGGAGAAGTTTGGAGAGGGTCTTTGTTCTTCCAGCTATTTCTGGACAGTGCTTGCCCGAAACTGGGATGAGAACCCTAAAAATGCAGAGACGCAGGTATGGAAGCTGTTTCCGTAGTACTTTCCGTAGTACTTTATGATTTGCATCCAAAGGCCTCAAAGTTCTTTACGCAGAGTATGTGAGCCAGTTCACCCTGCCGCAGTTGTTTCTTATCCTTTGGACATTTCTTGTCTAGAAAGAAAGCAGACGCTAAGACGTGCACGAGTTGCCAGGGAGGTTATGGGAGGCTGCTTGCGCTAGCCGCTGGGCCGTGTGGCTGTCGTCTGTACTGAGGTGGGCTAAGTAATTCCCAGGCGGTTTGGTTCCCTTCTTTCTGTGTGAACCGCTTAGGATGGCCCGAAGTGCTGCAACTGTAACATTTTATAAAGACAGAGACTATAGATCTCTGAGCTGGAGTAGTCATCGCTTAGTAATGTGGTCCCTCGCCCCTGAGGCGCTGCTGCTGCTGCTGCAGTGTAAAGGGTAATCCTGGTGACTGGGCAGAGAAATCCCATAATTGCTGTCCCCGAGGACTAGCGGGAAACATCTGATTTACCTTCACAGCCCCTCTGAATCAAGCAGTTGAATAGAACTGGGAGTAAAACAAGATTTGCACTTTTTATGCATAGTAAGAGGTTTAAAAATAAATGCGGTGTCCAACTGGCTTCTGCTGCATGTCATTCAGGTTTAATCTGCACGCTCTTTGAAGCTTCTTTGTAAAATCATGACAGTGTTTTCAAGTCTTGATAATTAAAAGTGGAGATAGTAAATCTGAAGGAGCGGCCTACGTTTTGGATGTGCCAATAAGCTGGATCCCTCTGGCTTTTGGACATCTTTGGTTCAGCAACTCTAAATACCAAACTGATTATTTATGTGGGTAAAATAAGGACGTAAAGACCCAGCTCTGTGGTACCCAGCTTTGATTTCTGGCTTCACTTCTGTTTACTGTTGTTGTTTATAGTAAATAGCATGCTTCTGAGTGGCTGGGGAAGAGCCATGTGATAGTTTCTCTTCAGCAGCCAGTGGGAAAAAGTATTCTTCCATATCAATTCACTTGCCACAATAACTGCACACGGTTGATTAAACTGAGATAGCTCATAGAGGGACAGCTAGCTTTTCTCTTAATCTGTAGCTTTCTCTCTTCTTCTGAATGCTAGCTTCGTACTTTTGCTGGCCAAAATGAGATGTGCTGATATGCTTCCTGGAAATGTTTCGAATATGAGATTATCATTTCATACGTCTCTAACACTTCCATTATATGACTTGACACTACCGCAAGGAATAAAACTCAGCTTGTTGTCCTAAGTACGAGTATTTGCTGCTGAAGCTCCGGACAAACTACTGTGGGCTACAGCTGTATGGGGTCTCTGATAGGGTAGTTCAGAATGTGCCCAGCAGATGGTATGAAAATGCAGACAGAGGTAGGGTGGTCTGTTACAACAAATAAGATACAAATATACGTATTTCTGTGCTATATAAAAATTTCCATTTAGTAAAGGTTAAAACCCACTTCTATTTGAGGGAGAGATATTGACCCTAGGCACTCCTGATTCAGTATTTACATTTTGGGAAATTATAAATCTACATCTGGACAATCAACTTTTTAGTCAAACGTATAGTATTGAATCAGATGGTTAACTATTTAAAAGAAAATTAATCTAGAGTTTAGAACAAGAGTGTGAATTTCCTTTCCAAGTCACTTCAGGTCATCTACCTTGTTTTACTCTATATAAAATTTGACTGTTTATTTCCCAGTTACTTGCCTGGAAACTTGATGAATTTTTGTATTCATCATCTGGCATCTTTAAGTGAAAGGTACTATTAGGGTATATAATGATAACGATACTCGTCTCAAACTAGAGTGTTGTGAGTGTTATGTGGGCTTTATCCTTACCTTAAATGTAATTTAAAGGAATCTGTGAAACTTTGTTTCGTCGCCTCAGACAAATATGTCTAGAAAGGACCTCAAGAGGTCTATTTCCCTGTCCAGGGTAAGCTCGGGTGCGTATCTAAACCATCCCTGAGCAATGTTTATTCCTTTAAGGCTCTTCCTGATGGCAGTTTTGTATCCTGTAGAGGTGATATGCTCTAATGCATGGGTATCCTTACCATTAGGAAGATTTTCATGGTGTTTGATCTAAATCTGTCTCACAATTTAAACCTGTTTCTTCTTTTCTTATCTTCCGGGAACATGGAGAACACTGTATTCCTTACATCTCTGCAGCTACTTTTAACGTATTTGAAGACTTAGTTTTTTCTTTCCTAAACTGAACAAGCTTTATTTCTGTGCTCTTCTGCATTGTTTTCTGTACCACAAAATATTCCCTCTGCACTTCTGTAGACTTCCTGCTCTTGATCTATGCTTTTCTTAAAATACTGTGATGAGGCTGGGCTAGGGCTACTAAGGTAGGACTGTGTTAGTTGAGCTTCTTGGAGCAGAAATAACCCCATTTCAGGTATGTCTAAGTACTGCTACTTGAAAAAATAATACAGATCTGGCTTTTGCATATTTGTATGTTGAACCGTGTGCTTGTGACAAAGGACTGGGCTCGCTACATAAACTGCTCTCAGACGTGCTGAATCTGCAGCTGCGTGCTAGTGGCGTGGGCTTCGGTGTTCTCAAAAGTTAAAACTTGGCATATTTGGTTCTCTTAAAGCATTGATGTCTGCATTTAGCCCCCTATCTTTTTTCTTTTTTGGCTGCAACTAAAATTCGGTTTGGGATGAGACTAGCAGATTTTGAGTCGTTAACTTGTCTGTTTATGTTTTAAAAGTTTCCTAATAAGATGACTGGAAGGATTATATGAGAAATGAAGCAAGATGCATTGAGGACAGGCAGTAGCTCCAACTTCCAGTTTCTTTTCCTAGGTTGTTAATCTCCTGTGGATATTTACATTTTATATATGTCAGAAATATATCAAGGTAAAAAAGCATCCCTGCGAAGCATCCCTCAGAGTAATGGGGCTATAACTCCTAATCTCCCTCCTTTCCCCAGCGATATGCCTTGGTATAGCATGTGCACTCCAAGCCATGTGACGTGAGTAACTTTTCATCCCACTTTGCAGGATGACAGGATTCGATCCTAAAGGCAAATACTTTCTTATATTGGTAAAGAACTTTTTTTTTTTTTTTTTAACCGAACTTCACTCTGAGATATTTTTTTAAGACTTTCATACATCCTTGCTCTACGTTTAAAGTGATAACGCAGTTATTAAAGTAGCAGTAAGCATGTGAGATCTTCCATCTCTGTGTCACTGATTCTAGCTCAGCTTGTTCTTGGAGCAGGTGAGACTCATTTGTGTCTAATGGCCTGAGCTGGTAGTGTCACATAAGTATCTGATGTGGGTTTCTGAGAACCTTGAATTTCAGGAGAACTCAGTCCAAGCTGTATTTTCTTATAAGTACAGAATAATACTTCTCTTTTACGAAGGTTTCTGACAGGCAACCTCTGGTAGGTTTGGGCACGATGACATATGGTATTACTGTCTTCAGGATTTGTTCAGGCACCTACCAAATATTTCTGCCACCGTAAAAGGAATTTAAAAAGAAATAGTGTCTGTGCCTCAGCTCTCCTAGTTCATAGTTTAGCAGTTTTATGCAGACTCAACCTGAGCAACCTCTGTCAGAGAGGCGAGGTGGACGAAGGTAATGTCTTAAAATACTGTAGGTGAATGAACCAGTACTTGTCTTCCTGAGACCTGACTTTGTCACAAGTTTTATGTTATTCTTGCAGCTCCACTGTGTGGTTGTTAACTGGTCATTAAAGGTAAGGAAAGCAGAGCAGAGGTTAGTTGTTATGGCCATTACCAGTGTGAAGGAGTTGATGTTGAGAGTTTAGTGCCGAACGGAAGGGTTGTTTTTTTCCTAAGTCCATGGGCTAATGCCTCAAAATACCTTCCCCCTTTCTCTGTTTCTCTCTCAAAAGTTTTCTGTATTAAATAGTATTAATATCAGTCAGTATCCTACATGCTTTTTAGGGTATATCGCCCTGTTGGTATATTCTGAGTTACCTAACTTTAATTAGCTCTTATGTTTTTTTGGACTGACATAATGTGAACAGTCCACAAATCTCCTCGTGGCTTGGTTTTTGTTTTTAACAACGGAAACTGCAGGCGTACATGCCAGTGGAAATTTGTGAAACTCAGTTTTTGCCCATTGAGGAAAAACACAATTTTTCTCCTCCTTTGGCTCTTCCAGCATCGTGCTAGAATCGGCATAGGGTTCTCTCTTCTTGCTGCAGTGTCACGGGAGCTGTTTTGATTCATGCATTGCTGGAGCCGCGTTTTCTGCTGTTCGGCTGGGCAGACTGAGGGTTGACACAGAGCAGTGTGATGTCAGTAGTGTGCTTCTGAATTCCCCCAGTGTATTGCTGATATTTAGCTCCAGAAGAGATCCTACTATGAAGAGTAGTTGCTTTTCAGCAAGGAAGTCATCTGTTTGTGGGAGCTGAAGGAAACTTCTACTTTTTTTTTTTTTTTTAAGTTTAGTATTATAGAGTGCTGCGCAGGGTGGAAAGGCAGCATTGTTTTGACCCAAAGCCATTTTGCCCAGAGTAAGCGACAGTCTTTTAGGATGCAGTTTGCAATTGCCTTAAGTGTGTACGGCTTGAAAAAGGCAGACCTGCAGTGCCTCCTGCAAGACAGAATGCTGCTCTGGCTTTTGTCCTCCCGGACCTCTCCTTGTACGACAGCCACACCTTATCCCCTGTTCACGGGCCTCTGTTTTCCTTCCGTGGTTCAAGTAAGCTTCTTCCTCCTCCCACCACGCTAAGCCCTCTCAGCCTGTGTTTTAAACAGTGGGACGCACATTCAGCTGCATCTCTAGCAGGCAGGGGGCCTTATGTTCTCCCTCCACTACCTCCTGACTGTTGGCAATCATGTTAGCGGAGAGCCTCCCTGGGCCGTCTGCCAGAGATTCCCTGCCCTCCCTGTGTCCCCTGCTGCTTCGCAGCCCGAGGGGGAGGCCAGGAGCCAGCAAGCACAAGGAGAGGGAGTCCTTCGGAGGCTTGGCTGGGATGCATGTGCACTGCAGGAAGATGGAGACTAGCAGGAACTTCT